AATACTAGTTCTGTTGCTCATGGGTGCTGTTAGTAGTAGTAGTATGGTAATACCAGACAGAAAACCTGGAGTGGGGGTCTTGAAAGTGGTTGGCTGTCAGCACTGAAGCTTTCTGGCAACTCCTGCAGCCAAGATGGTACCAAATGTAGTGCCCTGTATTCTTTTGGATCTTGTTGTGGAGTGAATAGTACGCCCCTGGTGACTATATGAATTAGTCCATAACTATGAGCTCCAGGTTAGAGGGAAGAAAAAAGCCGTTTGATATCAGTCTTCAGACCAATTAATACAGATGTCATGCCGAGTTGCTATAATAGTGACAAGGGATTTAAAACTTGGGTGATTTATAACTGCTGTGACGAGAATTCGGATCTCTTATGACTTATAACGGTAATGGCAATTCAGGAACTCCTGAGAGTTGTAACTGGAGTGATAAGGATTTGGGAAACTCATACCAAGTGAACGAGTACAGAAAAAAAAAAATACCTGTTGCTTCAGGAACAATGATACAGGTGACAAGAATTTTAACCACTTTAATTTAAAGAAAAAAAAAAAAAAACAAATTTCTTGTGTAGAGGGGAAAAAAAAATTTTTTATCTTGGATGTAGGAAAAAACATTCTTGCAAATATGGACCAAATTTTGGCTTTGATAGTTGAAATTCAACAACAACAGCAGCAAAATCAACAGTTGCTAGAACTACAAAAACAGGAATTGTTAGATATAATTCTGAAAAAAAAAAATGGATTCTTCAATGTATCTTATGCCAGATGCTGTCCAAAACACCATATTAGAATTTGTATACAATCCTGATGAAGGAATGACTTTTTGTGTGTATTTTCATAGATATGAACAAATATTCAGTGAGGAATGCAGCGGCTGGGAAGATGAGAGAAAAACGAGATTGTTGTCAAGGAAAATAGCTCCAATAAAGTATTAAAAATACTGCAACTCATATTACCAATAAAAGTGAGTGAAATAAGGTTTAAAGACATTATACACATTCTGGAGAAAATCTTTAGTGACTAGATCTCTCTGTTTAATACTCATTGGAAGTGCATTAATCTAACCAAAAAAAGAGGAAGAAGTTTTTGTCATGTATGCTGGTATTGTGAACAAATAATGGGAAAAGTTTAGAATAAAGTAAATGACTCCAGATATGTTCAAAGGGTTAATTTTCATTCAAGGTTTAACAGCTAAAAGTGATGCTGAAATATGAGTGTCAATTTTAATAAAATTGAACTAAACAGTAATATGACATTGCCAGAAACAGTGAATGATTGCAAGACAATTCTAAACCTGAAACATGATGCTGAAGAAATTCAGAATAAACAGTGTGCATTGGTACAAGCAAATGATAAATGTACAAAAAAGAATAATAAATCATTGTTTCAGATAAATGTTTATTGTAAAAATGTAAGTGGACAAGTGAACAATTTAAAATGTCGGAGCAAAAATCTTAAGGAAGAATTAAAAAAAATGTTTTCCAGATTTTCTGTCTAATAAACTGATTTGGTGTTCAAAATTTAAGGTGGATTTTCAAGTAAAAAAAAAAAAAAAAAAATGGTTTGACGCCACTATTTAAACCGAAACAGAGCATATCATTCTCTGCATTGTCCAACTTCATTGACTTGTTCCAAACTCGAAAGAATTGTTATAATAGAAAAAAAGTAACCTTTCAAAATGGGCAGCACAAGAAAAAAAAGAAAAAATAATAATATTTGTGTTTGCGTGAATTTCTTGACAAGATTAATCAGGATTGTTTAGAAACACATAACTCCCCATTACCAAGTCTGGAAGAAATTTTTGGGAATTAAATGGCAGAAGAATATTTTCAAAGCTGAATCTCTTTGAAGCATATTTACAAATTCAGATTGAAAATATATGACATATGTGTCACAGACACACACACACACACACACACACATATATATATATATATATATATATATATATATATATATATATATATATATATATATATGTTAAAGACTATAGAACTTTTCCATTTAATAATATTTTTTTCTTTTCTTTTTTTTTTTTTTTTTTTTGCTTTCTTGCGAGTTTTTTAATATTTGGTTCTAAATTGTTGAAATTTGACCCTAGTCCAAGGTGTTTTGCCGAGCGTTTTCGGTTATTGTCAACCATCATCATGGCTGTATGCTTTGGTTTCAAATATATTGCTTATTATTTTTACTTTTATAAAAAATATTTTGGGTATTTTGGATTAGTTCATTATTAATAAGGAGGGGGGGTTGGTGTTTATTATTTAGAGGATTGGTTATTAAATATGTTTAAGATGTTTCTGCCAGTATTAAATGCTATTTTATTTATGTTTGGGTTTTGGTTTTTAATTAGGATGGCTTCAACAATTTGTAATCATTTTTTTTTTTGCATTTGTTTTCATAGAGGATTTTGGTGGTGTTAATTAAGATTTTTCTTATTTCTGTTGATTTGAATGCATTACTTTTGGTGCAGTGTGTTACAAGATGATTTTTTTTATGGTGCTGGTTTCATTAAGGTGGTATGTGACCCTACATGAGAGACTTTTCTTTAACAACACATGCCTTAATAATGACATGCTGCCAAAATATACTTACTTTAAACATACACATATATATATAGGTTTGGCCATTTATGACATCTTGAGTGACTTGAAATTGTTTTCATCAAATATGAGAACACTGGAATTAAAAAAAAAAAAAAAAGAAAAATAAAGTTGCATAAATATACACAGGCCAATCCTTGAAAATGAATGTAGCAACATTCAAAAGTAGTTGGGAAGAAAATAATACAAAATATGAATTTTTGATAAATTTGCCAATAACACAAGACATTTAATTTGGAAATTTGAAAAATAAAAAAATAAAAATTGATAGACAGCAGAACTTGTCCATATTATTTAACCAAGGCAGCAGAACTTGTCCATATTATTTAACCAAGGCAGCAGAACTTGTCCATATTATTTAACCAAGGCAGCAGAACTTGTCCATATTATTTAACCAAGGCAGCAGAACTTGTCCATATTATTTAACCAAGACAGCAGAACTTGTCCATATTATTTAACCAAGGCAGCAGAACTTGTCCATATTATTTAACCAAGCTTGTTTGAAAGAATTATTGCTGCCAAAATACACCTGATATTCGTGGTTAGAATGTTTGCTTTTCAACCATGAAACCTGGGTTTGAATCTTGCCATATTTGATTTGTGTGGATGTTATTGATCTGGGGAGACGATCTAAGCATGCGGCATCTTTTGGAAAGTGCTTGAAAACTATGCCACTGTAATGAAATTGGGTTGATGGACCTGTTTTGAAAGCTGTCAATACTAATCTGAAGTCACAAGTCATTGTGGCTGAAGGTTTGAGTGTACAGGCATTGTTCAAACCACTGGTCACAACAGATAATGCAATCTCTCTCAGAAACTGTAAGGTCTGCTCAGCATAGTTGCAGTATAAACCAGAGGTGGGTTCTGTGACTAAGCAGGTGTCGGCAACAAGGATTGTATAGCCTCTCTAGCAGATGGGTGTTCACATGGGTGTTTGGTTGAGTAGTTGGAATGTTTACTTTTGAACCATGAGACCTAGGTTCAAATCTCACTATAGTCTAGGAAGGAAGGTGTTATCCATCAGAGAAGGTGATTCTAATTTTTTTTTATTTTTTTATTGATGTTTAATTTAGGACTCTTGACCAATTTTTTCTACCATCTTTATGGAATCCTCCAAATATGTATTTTTTAAAAAAATTTTTTAACTTAATCATTTGTAGTTGTTTGTATCGTAATATAAACACCATGAAAAGTTTAAGAAGCAAATGTTTATTTTGTTCACTTTAATCTTTAAATTGTGGTCTCCATTCCTTGCAGCCACTACTCCACTCTTTGGTCACTATTTTCCCTGGGTCATCTTACTGACCCTCATGACTGGATATTTGCAGGATGCAGTTAAACATTTCAAATTGTTAAGCAGAAAATTATAATTTACACAAATTTTTTTTTTTTTTTTTTTTTTTTTTTAAATAATCATTTCAATCTAAGTAAGGCAATAAAGCCACTAAGATGCAAGGGGTTACTCAGTGTTAGAGAATATGAGAGAAAAACTACTATTAAGGATAGAAAACAAAAGAACAAGAATTAAGACAGAAGATAATGATTGACATTGCATTTAAACTTTTGAAGATCAAAATTAACTGGAAAGCTGGAGGAGAGTTCCACAAGAACAATTCCCATGAAAATATTTATAAAAAAAGGCACAGGGAATCTGTTACAATGGTGGGAAAGTGACTGAAGCTGAGATACCAGATCAGGACCAATAACATTACAAATTCTTTTTGGATTTTATCATGAATCTCTAAATATATAGCAGGAGCACCAAACTATATGTTGCAGCAATATTCAAAGAAAAGATGAATAGTAGACTTATTTTTGTTAATGGTTCTTTAAAATTTTTTAACCAAAAATTGACAGAAAAATAATTTTGGGGGTTTTATTAAAGCAAAATTTGTTCTTACAATTATGTTCTCTTTTTTTCTTTTTTTTTTTTTTTCTGCATTTACCGATAAATTATGCAAAAATATCTAAATTTAAGTCCTTCAATCTTCATTTTCCATTTGTGTTCCAATCACCAATTTACAAAGAAGTGCTAAGTTTTTATTCATTTCTTGGGTGTGTTCTTTCATCATTTATTACACGCCTACCCACTTATTGATAGAAAGTCAATTATTGTTTTAGTTATTATTTTAAGGAATTAGTTGCTTTTAGAATAAATCTTGTTAGACTAAGATTTTCCTAGCATAGTCTCGTTCATCCTTGTCCCCAAAATTCTAACTGGTCGTCCCAAATTAATGTGCTATCATCCCCAGGATGAAAAGTTTAATTTTGAATTCTGGTTTAGATACTTTCTACTGATTCCTGTATAAACAGTCCTGTCATTTTTTAAATTTTTTTATGTGTTCTACGTTGTTAACTTGCTGTGTCTTTGCTTGAAGTTTGTATCAGGCTTTCAGAATGGCATATAACATTCTTTTGAAGTCCTCTCCAGATAGTGTGTTTCTATTTGAAGATTATCTGTCGTCGCATCTCTGGAGAGTGAGCAAATCAAATGCATTTGATTCATTCATCTGTTGGCGTGCGTGTTTTCTTTATTTCATTTTACTTTCTCTCTCTCTTGATGAAGAGAAAAAACTAACTCTCCAGAATATTGCAGTAATCATACTTCCAGCTCCTTTCTGTCTCTGGCTTTCTGTCTCTGGCTTTCTGTCTCTGGCTTTCTGTCTCTGGCTTTCTGTCTCTGGCTTTCTATCTCTCGCTTTCTGTCTCTGGCTTTCTATCTCTCGCTTTCTGTCTCTCGCTTTCTGTCTCTCGCTTTCTGTCTCTCGCTTTCTATCTCTCGCTTTCTGTCTGTGCTTATGGGGCCTTTATAATACAAGTTAATTCGTCTTTAGTTCATTTCTTTCTTAAAGACATGATAGCAAATTTAAAATAAGCTGATGTCAAAATGTATCACATTTTAGAGAATATTAGCCATTGTCAATCCTTTTAAGCAAATATTTGATATTGATAAATAAGTTAAATGTAACTATCTGAATCCCCCCACACACCTCTAATGAGCTGATGATACTGTCTGCAAAAGTTTAAGGCAGAAAGATAAATTTTGAACATTTTATTGCATTGGTTACACACACTTTTTATATTGTACAGGTACTACACTGATCTTCAGCAGAACTAAATCCTAGGCCAAAGTGTTGATTCAGACAAATAATTCCATTTTTTTTGTGAATACTGTACTATGATCTATGTGAGAAAATGATGCAGATTTTTCCCTTTTGAAAGGGTCTATGAAACCTTTATTTAAAAGCTTTTTCTCTAAAGGTCGTCTCTCCCCACACCCTACTTGTTTGCATGAGTGTGTTTTGGAATTTGCTTGATGTTGTCAAATATTGGGACAACTTAACAGGGAACCTGGCTTTCAGGTCAACCTTTATGGTTTCCTGCCAAATTCTTCCCCTATCTCTCTGTTGTGCATTTTGGTGCCAAAATTAGTTGGCATTGGTATAGTCACTTGTTTGTAATTCTATCATTTTTTTTTTTTTTGTACCCTCCCACCCCAAAAAATAACAAATTTTTTTTCATTTTCTTTCATATCGTACTTCCTCTTCCTCTTTCCCCCTCTTTTCTTGTTTCCCTCTCTTTTTTTCCTCTCTTCTTTTTTTCCTCTCTTCTTTTTTTCCTCTCTTCTTTTTTTCCTCTCTTCTTTTTTTCCTCTCTTCTTTTTTTCCTCTCTTTTTTCCCTCACTTCTTTTTTTCCTCTCTTGTTTCCCTCACTTCTTTTTTTCCTCCTCTCTTGGTTTTCCTCCTCTCTTGGTTTTCCTCCTCTCTTGGTTTTCCTCCTCTCTTGGTTTTCCTCCTCTCTTGGTTTTCCTCCTCTCTTGGTTTTCCTCCTCTCTTGGTTTTCCTCCTCTCTTGGTTTTCCTCCTCTTTTTTTTTCTCCTCTTTTTTTTCCTCTTTTCTTTTTTTTTTCTTTTTTTTTTTTTTTCCTCTTTTTTTTTTTTTTTCTCTTTTTTTTTTTTCCTTTTTCTTTTTTTTTTTTTTCCTCTTTTCTTTTTTTCTTTCTTCCTCTTTTCTTTTTTTTTTTTTTCTTCCTCTTTTTCTTTTTTTTTTTCTTCCTCTTTTTTTTTTTTTTTTCTTCCTTTTTTTTTTTTTTTCTTCCTCTTTTTCTTTTTTTTTCTTTTCTTCCTCTTTTTTTTTTTTTTCTTTTTTTTTTTTTTTTCCTCTTTTTTTTTTTTTTCTTCTTTTCTTTTTTTTTTTTTTTCTTTTCTTTTTTTTTTTCTTCCTCTTTTCTTTTTTTTTCTTCCTCTTTTTTTTTTTTTTTTCTTCTTTTTCTTTTTTTTTTTTCTTCCTCTTTTTCTTTTTTTTTTCCTCCTCTTTTTCTTTTTTTTTTTTTTCCTCTTTTAAAGAGAGGAGGAATGATTGTTCACAAAACAAGAAGAGATGTCTCTTTTTGAATTTTTCTTCACACAACTCGGATATACCCTTTGCATGTGCACAAACAATAGGAAATTAATGTAAAAAAAAAAATAGGATACAAATTTTTTTTTTCTTTTCCCAATCTTGTCACTTAACTCCTATCACAAAAAACTTCTTAATTAGTCAATTTTTTTTTTTTTTTTTTTTTTTTATTAATGGATAAATTTTCCAGCTGTTTCTTTATCTACCACTCAGTAAAAATAATGGGGAAAAAAAAATGGAATTTCAATCTGCATTGGGAATAGGACAAGGAATAGAAAGATCTGATTTAATGAAATACATTATCTTTTTATTTAAAAAGACAAACAAAAATAAACGATTTAAAATGATTTTTTCATTTTCTAAAACTAGAATTATTCCATTCTACAGATTTGGTACGGATTTCATGAATATTTTCTCTGCTGTTCTTTCAGGTTTAGGTCTTCATGTTTTCAATTTTCTCCAAGAATTGTAGAAATTCATATTGATCAGTTAACTTCCTTTCAAATTTCTAAAAAACTCCTTTGCTGTTTTATTTATAGCATAACCCTTACCTTTTGTGCCACTGGGGAAGAGCTGAACATTACAACCCCCTGTCTTTCCTATACCTGACAATTGTTCAATATCATTTATTGAGGAGAGAAGACTCTTTTTGCTTCTATGAGCAAGCTGATTGGTTGCAAAGATCACATGATAATGCTGATCTCTTTTTCAATTCTGAATTGAAGGAGTTGTGTTTCTGCTTTTCTTCAAGCATAACTTATATCCATGTATAGGTTTGAAATTGAATTATTTATATTTTATTAAGTTGGTTTTAAAAAGACTACTGAAATTCATATCACAAATATCCTTGCAATGCTCAAAGGAAGCTTCAACAGATATATTTATTTCTGGTCTCATTGGCTATTTTGGGTCTCTAAAAACGTCTTCTCTCCCAGGTGACCCCCACCAGGAGAAGACACTTTCTCGTCAGTTTCCCAGTCTTTTCAGTTGGGTCCCTAAAATTTGGCCTGTGCTTAGATTTAAGAATAATATTTTTTCAAATACAAGACCTATTTAATCCATAGTTGGGGGGAGATAGATTCAGTCTATAACCTAAACACGTTTTCAGTATTGAAGAAGGGTCATTTAGATTTCCATGTAAAGGTCTTAGAGGCTAATATCAATAAAATGTCTTTTCAGCCTTCCCTCTATAATTACTAGTGGCTTTTAGGCCTGAATGTTATCAACTTTGATGATTATATGTTTAATATTTGTAACATTCTGTTGTTGATATTTATTATTTGCTGTGCAGGTGAAAGGGGACTAAAAACATGGCTTTTCTTATATATATATATCTGTTTATGGCAACTATAAATATTTGTTCTTTTCCGTTTGATTTTAATATGCCCACTTTTTTTGCAATTATTATAGAATATCAAAAGTATAGATTTATTTCTAGATTTGCACTTTCGTTTGTTTGTCAAAAATGATAAAACACAGTTTTGTTTCCTTGTGTTCTTGAATCTCCTGATTCTGAAATGGATGGCTTCTTGTCATTTTGGTAAAGGATTTGTAAAACCATTGCCAAAAGAAGACAGAGTAGTTTAGCTTCAAGTCTTTTCATTGTGAATTTTCTCCTGTAACACTCTTAAGCAGTTCATAAAAAAGGAAAAATGATTATTAAATTAGTGCATAATTCGGTTTGGTAACCAGGATAATACAGTAATGCTACCAAGTTGTTTTGACTCAATGTCTGTCTTATAAACGCATTATGTTTGATCAGTTTCTTGGTGGCATTAATGTGGAACTGTTCTAGATTAATGGTAAAATCCATAGAATCTCAAAGAGTATAATTCAGATTATCTCTTTTTGTAGTTGATTATGCCAATGGGAAATGCCAACCATTTTTTATTTTTTATTTTTTTTTTTTTTTTTTTTTGCTGGTGCCACATTCCCCCCTCCCAATTCCTACATATTATAATTATTTACCACTCCTCCCCCCCTTTTTTTTTTCTATATCTCATTGTTCATCAAGTGCCTCCATATGCCAATTGATGATTTTGTTTAAATGAGCATATAAACCTTTTGAAAATTACACCAACCCAATTGCTATTAAATTCTATTTTTATCTCCGATAATGATGGCACAGCTATAAAATGCATCATCTTCTTTGGTTGCCATGGAAACCCCCTTTTTGATTGAATAGTTTTTCTCCTTTAAATGATGTTGATTTTCATTTGATTTATTTGTGATATGAGAAAAATTTTGGCTTCAAAATTCCTAAACTTCTGAGATTTTCAACATAGAATTTTAGAATTTCAGGTGCTAAATGAGACCACAGATCAAACTGTCGAACTATTGATCTTTTTCCAAAATATAATTTTAGTGGGTATAACCTTCAACGCATCTTAATTTATTCAGAAAATTGGATGTCCTGCAATTCTACAGTTTGTACGTAATTTAGAAATCTTCCTTCTGGATGAAATATTTAATCTCAAATGTAAACAATTTCATTCTAAGGAAGGTGATAATGCCACTAAGATGCTCGGGGTTACTGGGAGTGAAAGAGAATGAGAAGCCTTTAGTGAGGAGAAATGACAATAAAAGAACAAGGTTCAGGAAGACAGAATGGCATTGCATTTAGATTTTTGAAGGTAGAAGCTGGAAGAGTTCTGCATTTACCGATTCTGGAGCTGAGTAAATGCTTACAGGCTCAGATGTAAACAATTGATATTTACCTATGCCTGAAGTAAATGCTTATCGATTTGGATATAATTTTTAACATGAAATAACCTTACAATAGTTGACATATCGTCATAAAATCGGGCAATTGAACCTAACCATAATCTACAGTGACTAACATTTTATTCTCAAAAGGTAATTGGGTACAATCTGTGCAATTGTACTTTTAATCTGTGACAAAAAAAAAAATGAAATGACTTTCTGAAATATATTGGAATGGTTACCTGGGTAAGAAGGCTGAGAACCAGTGATTGATCACAAATTGTGCATGTACGTTATTCTCATACAAGATGAACTGAAGAAAATAAATTCTTCAGTTATGTCCTTTGTTTTTACTAAGTTAAAGTACACATTACCTGGTGAAGTACTTAAAGTAAGAACTAGACAAGATGTCTCTAGACAAGATCTCCCATAAAATAGGTTGGCTTATCCTCCACTTAACTCTCTGGCCTTTCGTACAGGAGTAGAGGTTTGTCCACATGTCCCTTTTTCTTTATTATCTGTAAATAGCCTTAACTTCTTGGGAAACAGTGGTGCTACTATAGTATAATATCTACCGAGGCATTTTCGATCTACCGTAAATGATGATGCACTCATTGTTGCTGGAAAATGCTCAGGAAAAACCGATGACCCGTTAACAATTTTTTTTTTTTTTTTTTTTTTTTTTTTAATGGCGTCAAATTATTTTACAAACATTAAAATCACTATTTGATGATTTTTTTTTTTTTTAATTTTTAATTTTTTGTATAAAAACTTGTTAATGATTTTTAATACATAACCAGTTCACTGTTCATTGCCTTTGACCCTAACCCTAACCTTTAACCCTAAAATATTGCAGACTTCCAACAGTTGGTAAATATCATACCATAAAAAAATAACATATCATGCTATATTAGAAAATGAACAGTAGATATCGTACTCGATAGTAGCATCAAGATATTGGAGTGGTTTCCTTTTGCCTCCTCTTTCTATGTCTCATATCCTTTCAGGACATGGGTGATCATGGCTCTCTACAACTTCCTATTCCTTGTGGCTCTTTGTAATTTTTCTCCCTTTACTAAGATTCCTACCTTCTGTTCTGTCATCTTGTATATGGCTTGCTGTCTTCCTCTATCTTGCCCTCAATATGCACCTTGAGGGTTAAGCTTTTCAAGCCTTCCTTCCTCATATGTCCAAAGAATTTCAGCTATCTCTTCCTGATTCTGAATAGAAGTGTTCTTTCTGTTTCCATTTTAAGACTTCCTTGTTGTTTACCCACTCCATCCATGGAATTCTCAGTATCCTTCTGTAGAACCTCATTTCTACTGCCTCTAGTTTTCACCTCATCCATGGGGAGATTGTTCAGCATTCACTGTTGTATAAGATGATAGATAACACATAGCAACTCAGCACTTATTTCTTTTGTTGCTAAGGAAATTTTTTCCATTTTTCAGCTCCTTGCTTAGCTTTCAGAATGCTTCTTTTGCTAGTTCATTGTGTTTTGGGATCCCAGTGTCGCATTTTCCATCTTCTGTTAAAACACTTCCTAAACATTCTTCTGCACCTGCTTGATGCTAGCATCTCTAATCTTCGGATTTTTCTCTTGCTGATGACCATACTTTGTCTTTTTGCAGTTGATAGTTAGTCCTTTCTTCTCCCTTTCTTCTACAACCCTGTTTAGGAGGTCCTGTAGTTTTCTTCCTGCTATCAACACAGTATGATCTGTGTCCCTTAATATAAGAATACATCCACTGATAATAAATCTTGATTGGGTCTCTAGTTCCCATAGAATAACATTGCGGTATAGGTTGAATAAATCTGGGGAGAAGACACATCCTTGTCTCACACTCGTTTATGTATTTTGTGTAGCTACTCAATTCATTTTCTATGCATAGGTGAGCAGTTTGCTCCCAGTGTAAGTTCTAGATTATTCTGACATCCTTTCCAAATAGATCTAGATTTTGATTTATCCATTTATTAATTAATTCTAAAGAGCTTAGTCTACCTTACTATTTAAGCCCATAGCAAAAGAAAAAGAGATGAATTGAACTCTGCTCATCAATTTTCCCCCTTCACTGTTAATGGTGACCCTACATGTACAAGTACTTACACTACCATTCAAAAGTTTGAAGCCACCCCCAGAATTAGCATGGGATAGACTTGACAGAAGAGTTTAAAATAAGGGGGAAAAAACCTCTGAGAATCACTGAAAAAAAAAAGAATGGGATCAATTATCAAACTTTGGAAAACTTTAGCAGAAAATGCCAAATTGTGCTGCAGTAATCAAGGCCAAAGGAGGATATTTTGAGGGGAGCAAAAATAATTATAAAATGCTTTTATTTTTGTCATAATAAA